CCATTCTATAGTAGAATGATCTGCTTTATCTGACTTCGGGTATTTACTACAGGTTACCAATTTATTCTCCTGGAATTCCTTGGATGTCAGCCTTGGTATTCTTGTAGATATTGAGTCTTCACTTCAGGTTCAAAAGAGCCTAATTCTAAATTATGGACCAGAGTCTCTTGCAGCTGTCTTTGCTACCAAATCGACTCGGTGGTTCCCCAGGCCCTGGGAAGTGTAAGACTGCTAAACTGTGTAGGCCCTTGGACTGCCTCTAGTGGTTTGCAAGATTCCTGGAGCTCACTTGATTCCCTTTTAGGGCTGTTGTTGGTCGCCTTTGTTTCTAAACACCTTTGTGTGCATGCAGTACGGAGAAAGCATATATATGCTTACCTTTTCTTAGATGTGAGCTCTTGTGTTGGATATGGGCTTAGCCTTTGGGGAAGAAGTCTCAGTGGGGCAAGGAAGCAGCTTCCAATGTTTCAGGATTACCAATGAAGATGCTCCTTCTCGACATCTTTGGTCCATGAAGCCACTTCAATCAGTAAACATCACTGTATCAGGGTCCTTTAGGGCTGGTTTATTAAATGTAGCCTGTTGGAATATTCTTGTTTCATGATCTGGGCATCACTATGGGATTACAGATGGGCTACCTTCATTTGGCAAAGGAATGTGGCTGGGTTAAGGGAGGCTGTTGCTCACAGATTAACATTTCAGCTTTAAGAGGATGGCCTGGTATTTTTCTATTTTCATGACAGTTAGCCAGTACCCATGTTTTTACCTACGGAAGGGTAGTACGTGATGCAGAGTGTGACCAATTGTTGCTTGTAAACAGGGCAGTCATCCCTTAGCAGTCCCTTGAGTGATTTGGAGAAGTAAACCATGGGTCTTCCGGATACACCCAGTCCCTGTTTCTCCTGTGTGAGTCAACAAACGGTTAATGGGGGTCTGGCAAACCTAAGGCAGGGGCACTTAGTAACTCATGTCCAATGCCATCAAGTGTTTTTGGGAGTTCACTCAAAGGTGTAGTGGGGCTAATTCCTCTGTCCTAGTGCCTTTTAAAGAGGTCTGATAATCAGGCCCATAGGAGGGATTTGAGCTGCACAGAATTTAGCCATTTAAAAAATGTCTCTAATTTGTCTTCAAGGTCTTAGAGGCACAACCTGCTACACAGTGTTTCTCCTGTCAGGAAGCAAGTTTTACCTCATGCTCTATCTCTGCTAGACAATCTAAAACGTTGACAATATTTTATCAGTCTCCTTTTGGGATAGTTTCTCCAATTATGCAAATCAGAGGTAGAAAA